CAGCTTCGAGTTTACATCTTATATTGATAATTTTATTTTCGAAGAAAGTGATAAAATTATTGGCAAGTTCTCTAGCCGAGGAACAAGACGGAAGACACTTCTCGGGCTTCCTGTGGAGAACGCGGTCGATGGTGCGAAAAAGGGACTTGTTATCGCTTCCAGCCTCGTCGATAAGATTGGAGCAATAATCCATTTTTGATTTAAAAATCAAAGATAATATAACTGCGCTTGGGAAAATTTCGATTTGTCATCTCTTGAGTCCCAGGAACAATACACTATTACCAATAAGTTTTGCATGACAGAAGTTAAATATTAACGGTGGCGTAATCATCCCCTTAGTGTGGTTACAAATAATGTTTGTAAAACTATGTCAATAATTGAGTGAACTTGTTTGGGCACAGGAAGACGAATTTCCCTTCTTGCAAAACAACAGGCTTCAATAGTGAAATATAAACTGAATAGACTTTCATTGACAGCTGAAAACTAAGACATCTTTAGATTGGCCATGAAACTTTTGCAACAAACGTCTGAAGAAACTTCCAGACTTGCAAAGGAAAACTTCTCTTCGATTCGAAAGAGTTAACGCAGGCATTGTTATGCCGAATAGGTGTGTTGCACTTTTGCTTTCACTTTTGTTAGCTCAAATAAGGATATCTATGCTTGCAATGGAAGGAAATTTGTCAGAAAAACGTTAAATTAACCAACACTAGTTGAGAGGGCTGACAAAGCTTTTTTGGTCGCTCTCGTACTTCCAGCGATTGAATCTAAACATAATTCGTCACAAGAATCGCAAGATGACACTAGAATTGTCGCTTATAGAATTTTACCTGCCGTCTTCCAGAAAAAGAAGTGCATAGCAATAGCTGTTGGATAAATGTTGAATACAAAGCGGAAAACGTTTCCGAATGAACAAATGTTAACATTGGTAAGCGAGAAGAGAAGGGGAAGATCAGTTAAAGTTCTCGAAGAATTTTCAGTCGACTACAGAGTGAGGGTACTCGGTTTTTTTTTTTTTTTCAATGCATTGTTGACCTGATGTTTAAAATAAAAGCTATCAAAATCAAGCAGGAAGAACAAGAGCAATAAAGACAGGTGAAGTATTTCCAGTTCCAGTCGTTCAAATGTCATCCGTTTAACAACAAGTAAATCACCATAGAAGCAAATTAAGTAACAAAGAGGAGTAAATAAAGATGATGTCTCAACAGCGGAGGTAGGAGTGTAACATATTAAGATCAATTTGTTAACCTATTTTTCGGCTTCCAATACAGAGGACTTCGCGAATCAGTCCTTTTTGAATTCCGCGGTGGAAATAAGCTTAGCAACGATATGCATATTTGTACAATTCTTTTACAACACTAAATTTGCGCCTGTAGGTTATCAAATTTAAAATTTCGTTTGCTGAGAGCAATTTTTGCGTTTTGCCAGTCTTGCGAAAAGATGGTTTGATTTCAGAAACGTGAATTCCTCGAGCTTCCTATTAAACGATAGCTATGAATGGCTAAATCTTGTTAATCAAGAGCAAATTAGACCACATTGAAAACAAAAACATTGTCGGACGAGTGACGATGGATTGTAATTAATTCAAAAAACAAAAGAAAGAAAGAAAAAATACGCACTTGAAGAAATAGTTTTCTGCCGTCTCTTTAAAACCCAAAGAACAATTTACTTTTACCACTAATTTTTTGAGGACATCGGCAAGATTTTTTTTAAATTCAGAAGTGGTGGCGTAATCATCACCCTTAGC